ATACGTTCTTACCTCGGGGCTAAGGGTGACAGAACCCATGCTGGGGAACGAAAAGAGAGAGAAATTAAAAGAGAGAGAGAAGGGGACAGTGCAGGAGCCTGGGAGCTGCAAGAGGGCAGAGCAAAATAACCAGCATGCAGCCAGGGCAGGGAGAAACGAGCAGCCAGACAGACACAGCCGAGGGGGGGCCCCGAGGGACCTGTGGGGTCTCAGGTCTTGGGGTATCCCCAAGGGTAGACTTGGCCCATCACCAGGAGAGCAGCCCGGGCCCACCCCACGCACAGAGCTCTGCCCGCGGGTCTCCATCCCCGTCTCTCCTCCCCAGAGGGCACCTCTAATCCCTGGTGCCTGCCCCTCGCGCACCCCCAGCTCCCTGCCCTACCTCACGTAGAGAGAGATGGGCACCACAGTGTTGAGGATGATGATGTAGGACCAGAAGGAGAGAAAGCCGGAGAAGAAGGCACTGTGCACCCCCTCGTCCCAGGGCAGGTAGATTTGGAAGCAGACGCCCACCTCGTGCTCCCAGATGGCGTTACCGATGGCCAGGATCACCCCCATGCACACCAGGAACCCGAAGATCTGGGGACAGGATGAGACATCAGAGCCTCAACTGGGCCAGAGCCAGGGCTCCCTGGGATCTGCCTTCCGCATACCCAGAGCACCAGCGTGTTCATCAGCCGATCGATGCTCGTCCGCTTGAACTTGGTCCGGCCGCTGTTCTGCATCAGTTTCGTGTCGGGCCCTGGGGAGAGGGAAGGGCGTCAGCGAGGTCTCTCCCTTCTGCCCAGTGCGGTGGTGGCAGCTGTCCCAGCCCACCTGCAAAGATGACGAGGCCAAAGCACCACTCGGTGTTGCGCAGGACGCAGCCCCGCAGCAGCATGTTCTGGTTGCTCAGCGGGTACTTGTTCTCCTTCCAGTACAGCGTCCCACCGAACTTGTCCAGCTTGTTGTTGGGGGGTTCACAGATCACCTCACCTGGGCGCAGGGGATGGCTCGGCTGTAACGTGCCTTCTCCACGTGGCCAGCTCCATCCCAGTGCTCCCAGTACCGTCCCCAGCTCCCCAGAGATCCGATTCAAGCCACACAACCACAACACCACGTGGACGGTCCCGGTCTCTCCAGGGTGAACCCACACCAGGTGATGGAGGAGGAAACCCAGGGGCTGCCCCATTGCACAGGACCAGTCGCAGGCACTCACCATCAAACCGAGCCAGCTTGCTGGTGTCACCCAGCTCCGAGGTGACGGGGATGGCCTGCCGCACCTTCATGTTGGTCTCTCTGCGGGCAAGGAGACACCACGTGCGGGGTTAGCGACAGCCTGGCAGGGAGGGCCTTTGCAGATGCTCCCCGGTTTCAGCTCCTGCCCATTCTCAGTCCTACTTCTTGCCGTCCCCCGCCACCCGAGGCGAGCAGGGGTTACCTACCCGTCCAGCTCCGCGGTCTCTATGTAGCACAACCCATGGGGTTCACTGCTGGAGAGGAGGAGGAGGTCAGCCTGCCGGGAGAGACACATGAAGGGCTGTGCTGACACTGGGGCTCCCCTACGCCTTCCCCAGGGAAAGCTCCTGGGCCCGTGGATGCCAGGGGCCAGCGGGGTCCATGGAGCCGCGCGTCCTTGGCAGGGCGCTGCCGGCACCCTGGCCTGGACACCATCGCCTGAAGAGCCCACGTCAGCCAAATCCCCAGAGCTCAAACACAGCTCAAACGCTACAACCTAAATGCAACTTCCAGGCTGGAAAATCCCTGACGTCTCCACCCCAGGAGGTGACGGAGGAGCACAAAAGCAGAGCGGGTGTAGCACCCCACCGCGCTGCTGTCCCTGTGGGCCACCCCAGCCCGGACCATGCTCATCTCGGAGCCACACTCACCGCCACAAACTGGTTGTTCTCCACCTTGATGATGCCTCCGACA